CGCACAGCAAATTTTCACGATTTTATGATCGATCCATTCTCATTCTGTTCGCACAAACAACTAACGTCGACAAATGTTTCTTTACAATTCTGCTCTTTTTTCTTTCTTCGCTTGCACGATCGAAGAAACGAAACGAAACGAAACGAAACGAAACGAAACGAAACGAATTATCGAAGCGGGAAATTCCAGATAACCGTTTCGTCTCCGTACTTTCGGTTAAATTCGAGCGGAAAGCAACTGGGAGAAAAACGTTCATTGTCGCGAAGGGTTTCAAACAATGACCGATACAATGGCCCGCGCGACGATCGCCGATTGTGTGCCGTGCCACTGTATGTATTTCTTCTTTCTACTTTTTTCCGCGGTAACAATGACGTTGTTAACGAGTCCACGAGCGATTTAATCCGAACGTAACGGATTCCCGTGTACCGTTTCCAAGCGGGAAAATATTATTTCGGTGGTATTCATCTTCACTGTCGACTTAGTATTCGATTTCTATTCTTTCCCAAACTGTTCTAACTAGATCAAATCTATCTAATAATTTAACCACATAGATCGAAGTTCCAATATTCATCTTCACAGTCGATTTAGTAATCGATTTCTCTTTTCTAAACGCGTGTAACTTACGACTTTTCGACTTTTCGTTTGTGAATACCTAGCCCGTTGCCACTTTTTTCTTTCCCTTTGTTCTCCCCCCATTTTTTTTCTCTCCACTTGAGAAGAAAGCGCGTACAACCCGTAAAAATCATCTCCGCGGGCGTTCTTCGGGGAGTTTCAATGGGGGCCCTCCGAAAGGGATTTACAGGTGTGACCGTTGGTACAGTACAGATGTAGCCCCCGGGGTCTCCGATGGGACACTCGAGCGCCGGTCTTGTACGGTGGTTTCCGGCATTTCGGATGCCACAAAGTGGATGTAAATTTTCTAAAGGAGACGTCCGACACGTATTATTTCGGCTCGTTTGTCGCGGTTAGAAGAGATCCCGATGGTTCTGAGCACATTAAATTTGAAACGTATTAAATTCGACGGGACCCTGAAATTTTTCGAGTTGTCGGTCACACACCCCCTTCTTTTTCTCTTTTCGGAAGTGTTATTAAGGTCTCGTTTCAAGCTTTTGCAGTCTGACGGACATTGTAGTGATCGAGTAAATTCTTTCGAGATTGGAGTGGAAGTTGCCAACGTTTCGTGAGTGATGTTAATTTATTGTTATATTCAAATCAGGCTTCGATAATATCTAGTACGAGCTTAAATTTTATTTTTACATATGCATGCATGTACTCTGCTTTTTTTTTTTCTATTCCCTTGTGTACCTATTGCTTCTCTTTTTTTCATCCATTTCTACGAACTTGAGAAGACATTACGATGGCAATGCCATTCTATACTTAGAAATTGTGTTATTTGCCAAAAAATAGCCACCTGGCTGTTAAATGTTCTCAAAGACTGTTTCAAGGTGTAAAGTAGCGATACTTTCATCGGTATAAACTAAGACGCAGAAACCAAACATATAAAAAACATGCAAGAATAAGAAGAAAAGGAAGTTCGGAAAATTCAAAAATAGAAGATACAAAATTGTTGGAAAAAACTGAAGAAAGCAAAGGTATCACGAATGAAACCAGTAAAACAGACAAACTTGAACAGGTACTTGGACTATTTAGCAACGTACGTACTCGGATGTAGGAGAAGAGGCGCACGAGGAGCTAAGGCGCGAGCAGAAGAGGAAAAAAGAAGGGAGGAAGGAGTCGCACGAACAGGAGTGGAAAGAAGAAAAGGAAAGGGGAACGATTGGAACGGGCGTGCTCGCTGCTTGCGCATTGGTGCACCTCTGTGTACGATGTGTGCAGAGTCGCCATGTTGAATATCCCCACTTCCGTTCCACGTGTCGTACACCTACACACGTGTTGGGGGGGAATGCGAGATACCGGTCGCAATATCGTGCACTTCGGTAGGGCGAGAAATCGCGCTTCAACGGCTCCGCCATGGGGGCTGGTTTGCTCTTATGGGGTTCCGTGCTGGGAGGAGGGGGGCAGCTTATTCACCCTAATACCACATAAGAACGGGGCACTTCTTTTGTCTTACCATAGATTCTAGAGAAAAACGATTTTTCATCGAATATTTCAGTCTTTTACGATCAAGATTACGTAGCTTGAAAAAAAAAATGTATTAAGTATATGTGTATGTGTGCAGTGTGTAAAAAAAAGTAAATACTTACATAGATGCACCTTTTAAAGATATGTTTGCATACAGTGACTTACGTGTTCGTTCATATATTTTTCAAATTGCAATTAAGTTGTATATTAATATTCATGCAATTTCGATTTATGTATCCTTGTGATTTTTACGTTTATCATGATTTCGGGATAAAGTTTTTTTTTCTTTTTCAAATAAGATTCCTAGTTTCATACGTATGTAATCTGGTGAGATAAACGTGACAGTCTTTTGGTGAAGTGAGTCACTGTAGATCCTTAGATCATGCAAAATTTTCCGTATTTATTCCATCTCAACTGGAACGAAATTGCAAATATGTACCTACGGTATTTTTTAACATTACAGATTATTTATTCCGTTCAATATGTTTATTATAATAGACCTAAGTGTGTAAACAGAGTTTTTATTAGCTGTAAATTCCCAGAATGATCGAAGCTTCTTTTGCTTATCATCTGGAAAGATCAACCAAGAGAATTTATATGTATAGAAACCCTATTTAGTATCGCGATCGTGGAATTGAAAATTAATCCGTATTCCCCCACCACCAATTAACAGTGACACCGAATTAATCAGAGATATTCGTAGATCCGATAAGACGCTAACGGGACAGTCTGCTTCTGCGCTGCTGAAAGTTAACAGTGCGATAAATTGCACGGTAACAAAGTGGATTGTAAAATAGTTCGGGTGGCTGATTGAAAAAGTGCGTCGATCAATTTCTGCGTGCGTTTGCTTCGACGAGGCCTGGCTACCGAGTGATTATCATTTGAACGCCGACTCGGAAAATGACGTGCAGATCACTGGAATTACAATGCATCTAACAGTCTAGAATTTCACGCTGCTACGACAGTCAAAAGAGCAGGATCGCTGTGAAAAAACGGCGATCGAACAGGCAATAATTTTACGCTGCAATTTCCAACGTCCAAGCTTGAAGAAAAGAAGATACACATCGGGGCCAATTCCGTGAACCACCTTTCCTACATCGAGTTTAACATTTTTCTCGATTTTCCAGCTGCAGGTTGGCATGTTACAGTTTCCTGGACTTTCTACCATTAGCTGGATCGTTCGGCAATTATGACGGTCAGGAACCGACGTGAAGAAAATTGCGGAAGGACTGTTGGGTCTCTTGTTTTTTTGCTCATAAAGATGCATTGAAGCTAAATGGATGCGTTTCTTGCCGTTAATTGGATAATAGAGGTCCAGTCATCGTTTATTTATCGAGTGGTGTATAGTTCTCTCAACATAAATTTACAAAAGCACTCGTTTTTAGAGCCGTTAGACGAGAATCTTCTCTTAACTCGCCAATAGCTTGTTAGAAATCATCAGCTTTCACCAAAGATCCATAAAAATGCAAACAAATACATCTCCTTCAGCCACTCAAACAAACGATCCTTGGGCCATGTATTCTTCAAAGAAAATCAGACTCGTGGAATATAATTGTATTTAACGTTCCTCGCATTCACGTCGGATCTCGGTCGCACAACGCCCCACTCACCAAGAAATACACAAAGTCACCTCGAGAGAGAGAGAACATCGTAGGGAACAGTTTTTCCTTGGTATATATATATTTCTCTCCTCCTACGTGGCGAGAGGAGGACGCCAGAAACGAAGACGGGATAATTTTGAGACGAAAGACGCTACCACGAAAGGAGCGACAGAGAGGGACAACGAGTTGATGGTAGGGGTGTAGAGGGTGGGATCGGCGGGGGTGGAGGTGTGGAGAGTCCAGACGTATTAATTAAACGACTCATTTTCATCGCACGACAAAAACGTGAGTTTAACGCCCATCGGCGACTAATGCGTTGCCCCTCTGCAGCTCCGCGACGCCACGAGGAGCTGTAGCAAGCGGGGCTCGAACGGACCGCAACGTTTGTACCACCCAGAGCCGTCCAATCGCGCGCGGCTCGGTGCACGCCTAGCGGTCGTCGTTCCTGTCCCGTGGTACCGCCCACAGTCGCTCGAATTGCCCCTACCACCGATCCGAACTGGTCTCGTCGGTGGGGATGGTTGCGGACTCGAGAGGGGCCCCCCCCCCCCACCACCGGCCAAGAGCGCCTCGTTTAGTCTGTAATTTGCTCAAACACTAGCAAGCTCTCGTGCCAGAAACATCCGTCAGAGCCGCGGAGCTCTGGGCTGCTGGAGTCTCTCGAGGTGTTATATACCGCGGCGCACCACTCTACCACCGTAGCCTTCAGGTTTAGGATCGATAGATCATTGGCGCACACCATCCCCCTATTGGAAAGCTCGTGTAATTAAGAAATCGGGGTATCGCGACCGGGAGTATGAGGCTCGATAGGAGAGCCTGGAGGAGGCCCAGTGAGTGTTGAACCCGAGTGCGTGATTCGAAGTGAGTGAACATATCTCCGATGCTTTTTGGGGGATCATCGTGGGGACTTGGGTGATCCTCGGGTGACAATTCGATGGTACTGTTCGAACGCGATGTGTGATCGTGGTGCTGCCGGGAACTGAGTGTGTGCGTGTGTGCGTGTGTTTAGGATCGAAGATTGTAATAACAGTGCTGCAACCTTGAACAAGTATACATGGTAGTTGTTCGGTAATCGTCGTTCCTTTACTAATCTCTGTTACAAGGCTGGATAGGTGGTTCGAGGTACACAGTGTACGAGGAGTAAAAATTAGTGAGTTGATACGTGAGTTTTTGTACCCTCTCACGGCGGGTGACAACTCGAGAAGGCGGTGTGGGGCAGTTATGAGTCGGACTTGATTCGAACCAGCGCACACCTGGAATCGATCATCCCGTCTGCCGTAGTGCGTCTGTCAGGCCCAAGCGTACGATAATCGTACGATGATGCCGCTCGCGCCGACGCCAATCGTTCCGGTGCCCTCGAAGCCGAAGATCGGCTTCAGCATCGATTCTATCGTGGGCGGTGGACAGGGCGGACACAGGGAGGATAGACTGGACCGACTGGAGCGGGTGGAGATCGACAGGGATGGCAGTCCTATGGACGTCGAGGGATCATCCTCGCCTAGGAGTCGTCGTGTCACCGCGAGATCGCCTGGAGCTCATTCGGAGGGTTCCGATCGGCCTGTGTCTCGGAGTTCCTCCGTGGAATCGTACCCTAACTCACGGAGGACACCTTCTCATGGGCTCCATCACCACCACGGGAATCACCATGGACATCATCATCACCTGTCCGCCGCGACGCACTTGGACTTTAGTCGAACGACGGTTCACAGTCACAGCGGCGGATCCACGCCTAATAACAGCCCTAGTCCTCCACATAGGATATCGCACGGCGACTCCCCAGTCGGTGCTCATCCTCAACCACCTCCAGGAGTCGTTCGACCCAGTCCGAACTATCTTGCACCACCCCCAGGCGCAGCAACCGCCGCTGCTGTCGCCGCGGAACAACTCAAGTCTCTCTACGGATTGCCTGGACATGGACCAACTGGCCCACAAAGTGGTCAGAACGAGTACCACACGCAACAATTGGCCCTGGCCGCGAATTTGGCCGCGGCGCAACACTTTCAAGCGGCGAATCTCGCGGTCGCCCTTCAGGCCCATCACGGAGCGTCCCCCCATGGACCTCCGCATGGACCTTATCCCCATGGAGGCGCACCAGGCGGTCCTCATCCACCGCCTCATCCTCATCAACCACCTAGAGACAGTTACCCGCTGTATCCGTGGCTGATGTCCAGGCACGGACGGATCTTCCCTCATCGGTTTCCAGGAGGTACGTACGCTATCAGTTTTTCTGCTTCCACGGGGAACCCCGCGGTTAGGATTTAGGGCGAGTAATCCCCATTGGGACGTTGAGCAAGTCGTTCGGGATGCTCACAGAGATCGTATCTCGGTATGGGGAAATAGGTTCTCTTTCGAGACTTGGGTTTTTCGGGAGGGACAGAGGGTATTGACGGGATTCGACAATGGGTAGCGTCTTTGTTTTAGGATCGGACGTACGAAACGGAGTTTGGCGAGCTTTGTTTGAAATACGAGAGCGGAGAATCATAAAGAATTGGTAGTTTATTGGTAGCATTGTAGAGTGTTTTCAAGTTGGTGGTGTAATATTCTGATGTCTTAGCTGTTCCTTTAGATCGTGTCAGGTGGCTTGAACCTTAATTATAGAATGTTTTCAAGTTTCGTATTGATCAGTTTTCAGAGAAATTGATGGAGAAGCTTCAATAATCTCGTAATGTACGCGATAATAACATCGTCGAATTAATACTGTTTGTATTATTCACACTAAGAAGTTGCCCCGTTTCTATTTCGTTCTTTATACATTTTCATCTTTCTCTTACATTCGCGCAATATCCTCTTCGATCCTGCGTTAATTTAAAGTGTCAGAAAACAGAAGATTTATGGACCTACACGCATGAATCGGAGAATCGATCCTTTTCGCAATCATTAATATCTTCTTGGGTCTCCACTCGTGAATTAAAGTAATCTACATAGTCTTTACAATCTTAATTACGTAACCGCGTCGATACTTCGTTATTTCTCGATGTTGACAAATGAATACGGATGAACAGAGCGCTTAAAACGTTTCGCAAACGTGAGAATACTTCGATCTATCGCTTAATTGTCGTGTCATAACCACACGGACATGTATACTTTTCTGCATGCGGTCAACACGTTGATCGATGCCTTTCACACGAAAGACCGTTCAATTCTTGAACATTGACATATCAGAATCAGGGGATCGCATATATTCAGAGTCTTGTTTCACCCAGCGAGCGAACGAATGCCACAAAATATTGAAAAGTGAGATTTTTTATTCATTTTGTCACCCCTTGGCGTCTAGTTACTGTCCTTTAGTTTAGAACTACATGGAAAAATTCCTACCTGTACTACATATGACTGTACCCGACAGTGACTCATAGATTTGTTCGTATACTTATATTCGAAAGATGTGACAAATTTGTGTATGAGATATTCGTGTTACGTTGTTATTTAATTCAGAAAATCAGTAGTCCAGTCGCAACTTTCTCTCGATAAAGATCGATTCTAAGGGTGGAACGAACCATAGTAGATTTTTCCCACCGCGTTGTCTAATAGTTCCTCGAACTCTCGATGAATTCGATCCGGAATCGGGTCTCGATAATTGTCCGCGCTAACGAGAACCTACGGAAAAAAGCGGATCGTACAACGCGACAGCGGTCAAAACATCGTACCGGACTCGGCGATCTTGGAGCAGGATCTGCTAGTGTAACTCGTCATTTCGAGTTAATAAACTCACGCGCGATCCCTTTTCCTCGGGGCTGACGCAGCGGGACCGGTTCCTCTCGTCGTCGACGAAAACGCCTGTCGATTCGATGGAAACGTCGCTTGAGATCGGTCCAAGAAAAAGTGGGCGAGGGGGGCGGGGGCAGGAAAAAGGGGGAACGCGACAATAATTACGTCTAACAGTTGGTAAATAACGGTGGGCCGAGCGTAGTAAATGATGGTTACGCAAAGATTTCGTAACCCCAGAACCACGGCGGTTTTGTAACTTGGTTGAACGAAGCAGGGGTCCTGCCCCCCTCTTCCTTATCGGCCACACGAGCCACTCGTAAGCGAAAAGACGACTACGGTCTCTTCATCTTCGGTCGCGTAATTGATTCATTCGTTTATCCCCGATAACGTCCAATTATGAATTATCCGGCGATACCGGCTATCGGTAATCCGTTGATAACGTTCCATCCAGTCATGGTACCCTGGCGAGTCTTCGTCTGTGTGGAGATTTGCTGGAAAATTCGGCGATCGTGCTTGAAGGGGGGATTTTTATGAAAGAATGTGATGCTTTAGCGTTGTAAAATTGTTTTTGTCGGTAAGAGGTGATCTTTTGCTGTTTTGATTCCTGATTGGGGAATTCTTAAGAGGAATATGTTAACACGTTGAATGCCGTGGGGATCATTAATTCATCGACATTAATTAACACTGGAACTACCAAACCCGTCGGAATGACGGATTGCAGATTTCTCATTTTACGATTACTAGAATTGTAAATATTCAATAAATTTGTCGAATCGTCGTTCAACTACATAACGCCGAGGTTCGACGAGAAAAATATATAGAAAAATCGCGGTGTCATTTCTTTTATCACCCGTGTTAATTAAATAACGTATTGATTTTCAATTATTCGGTACCAGTCGGTGGGTGTTCCGTCCGATGTTAAAAAACGTAGAAATGTCCCCTGGTTCGTAATTAATCTAATAACGAATCCTCCAAAATCATTCCATTGAACCGCAAGGGTC